AGTGCGTAACTAGGAAATCACAAATGCAGGAAGATGAGTGCTGTCTGGCTGAGGCCAGACTGAGAATATTATTCCAGAATTTTTAAGAGTGGCAGGTTTAAAGAAAAAAAAAAAAAAACCAAACAAAACACCAAACCATTCTTGTAGCACAGATTTGTAACATCTATCAAGAACAAAATGGCAGCACAGGTTTAGAAATTACCAGACAACATTTTTTTTTCTAGTAGAGCCATCTAGCACAAAATTCTTGAGCTTGAAACTTGCAGGGAAAAAATAGGGAAACAGACAGAAGGGTTAAATGCAACATATTTTCCTACAGTTAATTGTGCCCTATGGAAACACACAAGATATGACCATCTGGACTATTGTAAAGCCTCATCTAGGAGGATGCATGGAAATTATTGAACTAGATAAGCTGATATGCGCACAGAGCTTTTTTAATTAAAAAAATGGCTAAAGAGATATCATGTTGTAAATAAATGAGTAAGAGTTTTTCAAGGACAGGACTTGAAACCAATCTTGTTTAATATCTGTATCAGTGGCCTTGGCATGGGAAGTCAAACCATAATGATTAAGTTTGTTGAAGGAGTTAAGAGGCACCATCAAATACAGTGGAAAGCTGATATAAACAACCCTGGAGATGAGTTAGCAAAGAAAGCAAGATTCGACAAAGTACAAGGTGCTGTTGCTGATCACAACCAAAAAACATCAATGTGACAGCCATGAAAAAGGTTAGCACAATCTAAAGATTGATCAGATAAATAGTTCTGTAAGGGCAAGGGTAAATTAATGACACTGGGGAAATTGTTATCCAGAATATTGTGAACAATTCTGGTCATACACATCTAAAATACGTAATTATTATCAACGCTGTACAGTTTACCTAGCAAGAAGAGAAACTTTTACTCATCTCTCTTACAAAGAAAAAAAAAATTAAAATGCCTTCAAGATACTCCTATAAAACTAGCTTAATCATTCCTTTCAAAGGAATGCCACTCATTCTAGGTAACCAGGACCAATGGCCATGTCCTGGAAAGTATTTATGCTCTGAATTGATTGAATGACATCTATTCCATGAGAGAAAGAAACTTAATACTTAAATCTTTCCAAATTTGGCCAAAGATTTTACACTGTCACTTGAGTTGTTGACATGTCAAACAAAAGTAATGAAGCAGAGGACCACACACAGTTATGTGCAAGTAAAAGAAAAGGTACTTAATTTTTGCAATGTGTGACACATGATACCTATCTCCAACTCCTATACCTGTAACAGCAGCAAAGAAATACTAACCAAGTACTTGCATTTCCTGGGTTAGGTATCAGTAAAAAGAGGAGGGAACTTAAGTGGAAAGCAATTAACCAAAAACTTTGTCTACAAACAAGCACTAACTTTAACATGAGAAGACAACTACTGATCACCAGAACTGTCAGTTTAAAAAATAAAAAAATAAAAATCCCTCCCAACAACTCTTGCAAAATGATGTCCCCACTGTTCCTCCTAGTGCTACTGAACTCCGTATTAGCTCAGAAAAAAGAAATTCCCTTAAAGCCCTACAGTAAGCCACATAGCTCTCTTTAAAAGTCCTTGCCGGTATCAGCAAACATTTACTTCATTAGACAGGTTTGGCAAGAAAAGGTCAACAAGGTGTTTCTCCCTCTTTCAGTATGTAGAGTTGCTATTAATAAAACAGCACCAACAGCACCTTCTTGTAACAAGCAAACAGGAGTATAGCTCACCAAATCAGAACCATCATTAACTGCAAGTTATTAATTACATTGCAATGGCATGCAGGAACCAATTATGGAGCTGAGCTAGACACTATGAAGAGATACAAGAGAAAGCTTGTCTATACCACACAACACTGAGCAAGACACACAAACTGGCTCTGAACAAACTGGAGGGTCTTCCCAAGGCTGCCCAGCACTGCAGACACTAGCAGAACTCCTGGGAGATACATTGCTTTGGCAAGAAAATACTGTCTTTGGGCTACTCAAACCATAATCAAGAAGATATATTAGTTCTCATTCCTGACTTCCCCTCCAATACAGCCCTGTACCATGCAGTACAGAAACACCGAGAAGCGGTCTTTCCAGCAAGCTTACCTAATTGCTATATATTGAGCCCTTTTTTGGGAATGGAGGATTTAGCAGAGAACTCTAGTAGCAAACTTGAACACAAATCAGATGGGACAGGGACTTGTCAAAAAATACAAATTTAAGAGACCACCTTCAAGAGAAATTGTTTTGCAATCATTATTAGAAAAAATAGTCTTCCATTTCTGTTTTTTTCTACATCAGTGGCAATATCTCTAGTAAAATGTGCTAAATGTTTGCAGACTTAGATGATGCTATTCTAAGAGCACCTTCACACCTACTGCAATTCACTACTGTTTACACCCATGCTACTTTACCTCTCTGCCAGTTAGGATGTGCCTTGCCAGTTTTACTTTTGCAAAATTCCCCTTTCCAATCGTTTTAAGGAGTCTGTAATTTCCAATATGCGGCTGCTCATCTGCGCAGGAAGCTATAGAATTCCTGCAGCGAGCTCCAGAGCGCCCAGTTCGAGAGGAAACTTCCTGCCGTCCATCTCCATGGGACATGTGCTGCAATAAAAACATACACAGATAAGGCTGACAAAGACAAAACACATCAGTGATGAGAAGCATACAACATTCAAAAACATCAGCAACTCCTCTGAAGAAACCTTCAAAGCATCCAATTCAAACTTCAGATTCACGCTGAACTTTGCTCTGATGGGGACAATAAAGGGGTTCCCAGTTCCCAACACAATATCTATTTCATCACCTGATAAAGAGCAAGTGGAGCATC